GCGCGCGCGCGTGATGTGTGTGTGTGTACGCGTGTGCGTATGTGTGTGTGTACAGGGTATTTCATTTTAACTTTTACACCGTAATATCTTAAAATGTACAAAAAATACGGAAAAATGTTTCAAACAAAAGTTATGGTTCGATGGAGGACATAAGAGGGTACCATTGGTTTAATTTTGGGTGCCGCCGCCAAGATCAGGTCGACTTTGTTTTTTTTAAATAAAAACATTTTTTTTATAGAATTTTATTCTACGTAAAGAAACAAATAACTCTTATTTGAAAAAAAATTTTTATACGACTTCTATTTTCTAAAATATTTACGGAAATATCTACAAAATTATTGATTTTAATAATTTTTTATTTGAATTCTATCAACTTTATATAAAAAATAGCAAGAAATAAAAATTGTTTATTTTCTTCTTATCAAGCTCTGAGAATTTTTTCAGAATTTTTTAATTAATTTCTTAGTACTGTATTTTCTTGCATTTTTTTGAAATACTAAAAAGTTAATTTAAAAATTCTGAAAAAATTCTCAGAGCTCTATGATAAGAAAACAAATAGTTTTTATCTCTTACTATTTTTCGATAAAGTTGATAGAGTAAAAAATTATAATTCGAGTAAAAAATTATTAAAACCAATAATTTTGTAGATATTTCCGTAAATATCTTAGAAAATAAATATTGTATAAAAAATCTTTTCAAACAGAAGCTGTTTGTTTCTTTACGTAGAATAAAATTCCGTAATAAAAAATATATGTTTCTGTTTAAAAAACAAAGTTAACCTCGACATGACGTTGGCGACGCCATGCAAGGTCAAACTAATGGTACTTTCTTATATCCTCCATCGAACAATATAACTTTTGTCTGAAACATTTTTGCTGAATATGCTTGGCCGAATAATTATCAGGATGTATTTTTTAAAATGAGACTCCCTGTATATACGAGTAATTTTTGAGAAAGTATGATGATGGGGGCTCACTGACAACAGAATGAAATGAAGCAGATATTGCAACTATGCATGACACCCCATGTAAATCTGAAATCTAAGAGTGCCTCATTCTCAGCACCTAATTACTTGAACAGCAAACGGTTCTAGTGGGTTGTGAATTCTATCAAGAGGAATAAAATAGCACAGTTTGAAGTGATTCTGACGTGGGCCAAAAAATGATCTTATTGACTTTCATCCTTTCAAATAACGATAACTTCGTAAATAATGAAGATAGAAAGGTCTAAGATAAAAATGATGCTTGGATTCCTTACTTTATAAATCAATTTATTTTAATGTGTGTTAATTTTTTTATAAATCAAGACAATTTCTGGCAAAGAAAAAGTAGCGAAAAGGTCCGAAATCGGCCTCCGCACCGCTATTTTATGAAATAAGTGATAGAGATTAACTTTTATTTTTTTTAGGTCTGTAACATGTGTGTAAGGTTAACGAATATAATAAACATTTTTTTTTAGTTCAATTCTGATTACAAGAAAATATTTGCCGAAATTGACTCTCCAAACAGCACAAAGTTATCTGAGGATATCTCAAGAATGTCCTGAGAATGTAGAAACCTATGGCATTCTCAGGACATACTCTACACGTTCTTTGGATATCTATAGCTGTTAGGATTTTTGCAAAAAAATTCTCGAAAAAATAGAAGGTTTTTTTTTCATTTTTACTTTGTTATTTTATATAGAGCACAATCGAGTACTAAAAAGATTTTCATATATGTGATGTAGGAGAGTGTAATCTAACATAAATAAAAATGACTATAGTATTACATTGCGTTCATACTGAAAAATAAACATTAGCGAAATCCTTGTTCTGTACGGCAGCTAAGGCCGTACGTAAAGCGATGGGTGAAACATCTGGTACATAAACGATCAAGAAATTAATGAAGAAACTTTAATCTTGTTTCATTTTATTATTGTGCATTAATAAAAACATTTAACGCATTATTTCATTTGGAGTATTCTTTTATTGGAGTATTCTACGATTATTGTCGATTGTAAATGATAGCCTATAAATTCCACAATAAAGCAAATATTAAGATGTAACTCATTTTTTTTAAAGAATATCAGGAAGATTACTAGTGATATACCATAAGAAAATTAAAAAATAAAGGAAGGCCAAGAAAGCCCTTTTTGTCACTCCTCTTTTGATTAACACATACAAGGGGAACACCATGTGACTGCGGGGATTTTGATGCGCTTTTTACAGACCGTTCTTGGGCGAAAAAAAAACGACACGTGTTCAGCCGTTTCAGCCAATGTACCATAGTTTTGAAGAAATAGAATTTTAAAGAATGACTCTAGTCGGCCGCAGCACACTTGATACGTTCGACCGTCACTATTGAACAGCAGCAGCAGTAGCGCAGTAAGTAAGACGTTGGCTTCGTACGCAGTAGATTGCGAATTCAAATCTTGTCTCGTGCATTTTTTTTTATTAAAAATTCGTTTTTATCTGTAATTATTTATGTTATTGTAGATGTACACGAAAAAGATTATTTACTTAATTATATTGGTATTATATTTTTTGTAAATGAAATTTTAACATTTTTAAATAATTATTGTAATAATTTAAAAAATCTGTATAAAGAAATATTATTATCTTTATAAATTTCTTTTTAATTTAATGTTATTAATTTTATTACTTTTTGATTATAATGAAATTTCATAAATTTACAAATCAGTAGATAATTTGTTTTTTTATTTGTTCTCTTATTTTTCTTTTTTTCCTTATCAATCACGCAATGATAAACAAAGGTTGCAAAGCTTGTGCCGAC